GACTCACTACTCTGTCTCGGTCTCGAACTAGACCCAATTTCGTCGCCAGACGTGTTCACATGGCCTACATTGGATTCCGTAGGAATGAGGTTGCGGGGTTTGTCTGATTCGTATGTTGCGCTTTTGGCAAACCGTTGCTGTCGCTTAGTGTAATATTCCACATTGTCCTCGCATTTCTTTTTCATAACTTCCAGTTTTTGGACCATTTGACCACATTCGGCTCGATTCTCCTCCCTAATCCGGATCATACCCTCTGCAATGAGATCGAGGAAATCGTGTATAAAGGCCGTACAGTCCGGATGCCTATGAAGTATATCGATATGCTACCCTCTCTGTAAGTAAGCCCCTTTCTCATACATGAGGGTGACATCCTTACTTTTCTAACAGAATCCTTCCGACAGGCTCCAAAGTTTTTCATATGATCCATATTGAAGAACTTATCTTCTTTTAAGAAATCATAATGAAGCGATTGATCCTCACGGTGGCGTTCTTCAGAAAACACTACCACTCCATGCCAGCCTTGAAGTAACCAAGTGAGAAACTCAAGATAAAGGCAGCCCAGGGGCCAAAGATCCCACAAGCATGATATCTTACGTCTCAAGTCGCCCTCTGGCGCACGATAGGTTCTTGTCGCCATCGGGCTGTTTGTGTATTCTCGCCGATAGGAATCATTTTGATGAAATCGTGTCAAACCAAAGTCTGAGATTTTGAGAAGTCCCCATTTGAGATTCTGAGACCCGGGTGTTAGCTCATAGCGCAGAATATTTGTAGGCTTAATATCACCGTGCCTGCCCCTGAGAGTATGTCTCTCAGAAGATGAACACTGGCCGCTGTGAATTAGCTGGAGCCCCTCAGCTATCCCAAGACATTGTTGAAGGACCCAAATACTCATATCTGGGTCTGAATTGGATAATGAATTATCCTTCCAGAACGTCGCTAAGTCTTCAACGGCCCAGAGGAATATCAAATAGTACGAGCCGTGGTAATGAAACGTTCCAAGTAACTCCACTAGATGCGGATGACCGAGTTTTCTGACAAGTTTTAACGCCTTCACTTCTTTGTTGAAATCTTCATTTGTCGAGGACAATAGTCTTTTGACGGCAAAGTGTTTTCCATCAAGCTCAATAAAAGATTAGGTTTATCTATGAAGTATGACAGGATGAACATACCAAGTCGTGATGCCCATGGTGAATGACAACTTGGCTTACTTGGCTGTTACCTCCAACCATAGGGGTAGGTATTTGCTCTATAAACGGGAGAGGCACCTTATGGCGTATCGAATGATGATGTATCGTTCCTTTGGCGAATTTGAACACGGGGGCTATAAACTCCCATTGGCATGAGTCAAATATGTGTGATCTGCTGAAGTCATTGTCGAAGGATGGGAAAGGGCAAGTAACCAGGCTGCCGTCGGCCTCACTATACTCAAGCTGCATACCACTTGAATGATTGCGGAATTGAAAAGGAAGATGCCTGTCCCAAACGCCGGCCTCAATGAAATCGATGATTAAGTCAGGTATACCTGCCATTATAAGTATACCTAGTATCCGTTTCCTGGAATCATGTCGGATTGTCTGGTTTCGTGGGGCGATTTGGTCCACGATAGCAGTTAACTCAGAACCTAGTTCGCAGGCTGGCCGGTCAGCCATGGAAGAAATCACGTTAGAGATAGTGTCGCGTGTGAATAGCTTGTCCAACTCATCGTTTCGAACAAATTTTTCGTCCTCGTAATTATCACAACTTATGTTATGTATTTTGCCTTTGATCTCAGAGACTATGTCTGGTTCTGAACTGTGTGCCGTGCGTTTCCAAAGACACAGCTGTGGTGCCATGGCATGCGATATGCGTAGGCAAAGCGTATGAAGGCGGTATAGGGTTCGCTATTGGTGTGGAATGAATAAATGTAGAGTGAGAATACAGTCAGATCTCGGTAATCTCCTTATATGACCGAAAGATTGGAGGAGCTTATCGTCGAGAAATTAAGGATTATATAGGATATTAATGTTGCACATCCATAGTAGTTCAGTAATGGGATAGGAAATGGAGTCACGCGGGGTTACCCGTGCTTCTTCAAAGTCCAATAGTCAATTTCCATATGTATAGAAGTCGAATAGGATGATTACGCCCAATCTAATGGAGTTTATACATTAATATTATTCTTTGTCACTTTAGGACTCTTGAAGATGCAAAATGAGCGAGGTCTGCACTTAGACCCGTAAGTAGGTCGGGATGACCACAAGCCACCGAACTATTCCGCATCTGTAAATTCCCTAAGAATTGAAATTTGCCGATATTGTTTGTATACGCCTAGAGGAGCTTTAGATTTGGTCCTTTCATCCCTTTTTCAATCTACCTGTAGGCTTACAAGCCTTGAACATGTAAATAACTTGAACGCGTTATGAAAACAAAAACATACAATCCACCAAGTAGAGATTATCTAAGTGAGCACACATATGAATGCCTTTGAACTAATATCAGCAGCAAATATAGCACTGTTCTTCTTATTCTCCTTCCACGCTTGTCTTGTTCCCATTATGAACTAGAGACCAATTGCACACCATCTCAATCGAATGCGCGAAGCCTTACGGAAATAGGAGGTAGCCGTGTTAGTACGCCTTAACCACACCGAAGCTGACCGAATGTGGCGTCTGGGCACTACTTTCGGGTGTCAGGGCAGATTTCGTGCAGTTTGGGGCATACTGCAGGGAAGTGTAAAAACCAAGTTATATTCATCCATCCAGTCAGCCCGACGTATGCATATTCCGATATACCAGAAAGGGGGGAAAAGGCGATGTGGTGAGATAGTGGTATTCTCTATTATTGGCTCACTGTGCGAGGGCCTTAGCATTTTAAACCTTTAACAGGAGCCTTCTTGCTACTTTCTAAACTTTAGTTCTAGTTTCAATATAACTTGGAGATATTCATCGCTGAATATCAAAAGTTTGTTCACTGTATCAACCACCTAGCGGCGCATGACTTTACAACCCATTATGGAAGTAGAAACTGTTGAGAAGAAATTCACGCCAGGCCAACCGATAGAGATAAACACCAAGTTAGTTACTCTTGAGCATCTCATCCACTGTCTGCGCAAATTGCTCGGCACGGAAAAGTTCATGATAGAGGTAATTCCTTTCTTTTTCCTTGGCTGCATATTATAATTGACCGGAATTAGATGAGACATGATGTGTACAAAATCAAGTCAGAAAAGTCCATCGATGCTGTAAGACCTTTATGGGCGCTTTATTTCTCAATTAATAATAGCATAGGCTAATTCAAACTGATTATAGCAGGATCTCATCGCTCAATGCCGACCTAGCGGCATGAAACCAGAGATAGAGGACAGCACTCTAACCCCCAACAAAGACGTAGACGAATGCGGAGCTCCGGCCTGTAGGAAACAACAAACAGGCGACGTTGATGAGTCGGAATTCTAAGATATATTGGGAAAGCACGCCGATACTGATCATGGACGCATTGGGCGTCCAGGGCAAAGGGTACAAGAAGGATAATCAGGGCCGCCTTTGGGCTTTTGAGTATTTTCTTTATAAAAAGTAGTGTATTAGCGACAGCGGTCGAAACATCAAGTGCCTCTCAGCCAGGTTGCTGCAAGGGCTTGCTTACATTCATACGGTGTTTCATGCAAGATGCAAGTGAAAGAAGTCAAATACGATTTAGGGTGAGATTCAAGACAGAGCAAGCCTCGATACAGGTAACGGGCTTCCTAATGAACTCGATCACGCCAATTCCAACGCAAGCCTACATGGCTTAACCATAGGGGAACCGTCAGAAAGGCACCAATGGGCCTGGGCTAAGATCATAAGCAGGAAGGCGATTACTTATTCTACGATATAATATTGGATATTATAAAATAAGCTTTGACGTAAATTGATAACTACCTAATTAAGTGATATTTGTCAAATTGTCAGCTTGCTTAGATAACGTACATTTATAAAAGCCAACTTGCTTACCTTAGTCATGATCTAATACTCACCCAACGAATAAATCTGTTAAGCGCCCGAAGTTACCTGTAGATGGCTTGGGGGCGGAGGAAATCTTGGCCGAGCGGCGCAGCATTCTCCCGACCTCGTTATTGTTAGTAGTCACCCAACTATGCTTTGCAAACTACTGCAAAAGTTCATGTATCGGCGCGTATAGTCGATGAAAATGGTAGCTGTCACGCTACGCATCCACCCTCGAGGTAAATGATGACTATTATGTCTCTGGATTCTATAATACTTATATTGAACTAGGCAAACCAATTAGGTCCCTACCCGCCGAGGTCCAGCTTCAGCCGTCAGATACGACGCGGTCTCTCTATCAGTAAATCTCCAAAGCGAGTGGCTACGCTCCGCAACGTTTGCGCATCTCTCTGGGCAAAGATGGCAGCTAAGTAATTGAGAATTCTGCCACTTGCGCTTTAGCTGGTATAGAGATAGACAGTGGCGTGGACATCTTTGTCAAAGATCTAGGTTAGCACCATATCTAGAAAGCGAGGGGCAAGTTTATCTGTTGTTGCTGATTAATCCTGAATACGGGACCTCAGATCAACTGGCAAACAGTCTTTATAATCGAGTATATTGGCCCGCTTGTTATACATCCGCTTATATACGCGCTGCGTCTGGCGGATCCTACCCCATCCCAAACCCGCACGCTGTACATGTCAGGTAGATAGGTGACACCCTAGTGTGTACCTATCAGGCTGGGTCTATATATACAGGCTATCCCTCCCAACTAGCAGTTGAAAAGGGATAGGGGCTATGTTGACCAATACACCCTATGGCTACTGGCCCCTTTCTACCTACCTGCTATGTGACTGCGTAGGCTATCCATTCACTCTGGGACAGACAACCCTGACAATAAATACTTTTATATTTACTATTCGTGTTTTTTTTTCCTTCGACCGGCAAAAAAAAAAAAGAGAGAGAGAGAGAGGAAAAAAGGAAAGAAAGAAAGGAAGAATAAAAAGAAGTAAATAAATAATAAGAGGATTAAAAAAACTCCTCTCGATCGGGGAATCGAACCCCGGCCACCTGCGCTTTGCTACTAATGAACCAACACATTAAATGACAAGCAGGTATCCTTACCACTAGACCAATCGAGACCGTTATCGCATCTCTGTGCAATTCATAGGGTTTAGATCGAATATAGTTAATGAAATCTCCCAAATCAACTACAAGCTCAGTTAGTTAAATATGCCTGTTTTAGAAAACTTCCCTCTATACATCAAGGACATCAACTTGAAGTAACCAATGCTAAGTCAATGATAATACTACCCTCGCACATTTCAGTTTACCATGGAACATCCCTCAGCGGTGGAAGTCATCTGTCAGCGGGGTCCACGAATCTATATAAAACCCGCTGAGGAAACGACAGCATGCACCCAAAGGAATATTATGAAGTACAAATAAGGGTAAAGGTCTAACTAACTAAGTATAGTGTGCTCCTTATCCAGGCCACTGAAAAACTTCAATAGTTATATAAACCTCTCATACCTGCCGGACTATGTATAACTTTCTCTTACTTTCTCTAGGTACAAACAAATAGAGCACCCACGCTACTAGTGATGAATTCATTCAAACTCACGCCTTCATTTCTTATCTCAATCTTCCTCTAAGAGTCTCATATCTAACCGTACTACTCTTCTATCCACGTCTGAGATTACTACCACAAGGTATCTACCTCTACATCTACCTCTCTTCACTAGGAGCAGGCCTTGCCCGTGCTATCACGTGTTTAGGCTGTAATCTATGATGTGTACTTTTTATTTAATTATTTTGGACCCCGAGTTTTAACGGGCGATCGTACGTATGTTCATGGTTTAGGTAGATAGGTGTGAAGGGTTAAATTTGGTCTTGTCAGCTAGGGCTTACAGGGGTGTGGACTTGAGACTCAATTTCTCTAGTCCGTGGCGATAGCATTGTAGTATGCTATCTGCTAGATTCGAGCCACAACAATTATATGAGGTGATGTAGATGTTCAGGTGGGAAAGAGAGATGACAATGATGGACGCGAGATGGAGAGACGACGCCGCATATGCTGACCACTAGAAACGATGATGTGATTGATAGGTAGGTGTAGAGGCAAAGGTTTTGAGTACAGTGGGTGCCCCGTCTATACCATTTGAAAAGTATGGTGAATCCTTCGTGCCTACCAAATCGTGCACACCATCCTCCTGCAAGACCGCTGCGAAGTAGTCTAAGGGCATTTTGATATTTTAAGGGTTCCCTAATCGGACGGCTGGATTTTTCTGTACAAAATTCAAATCCACCCTGTGACCCAACAAGTCACGAATGTTGTTAATGCCGTATCGGATCATAGTGGGACGTTCTAGCGATAGTCCCCAGCCATATACACGCATGTCCTTACTATAACGAGAGATCAGTTACTTTCGGCATCACTCAGAATATAACGAAGATGGAATTAAATGCCTGTGGGACGACGTGTACTTACGGCAAACCCATAGCTTCAAGCATTTCGGGCCTGAAGATTCCACTGTTTCCTATTTCTACGAGCTTTTTCAAACCCGGATCTACGATCAGAGTATTAGCGCTTCTTAAAATCAATAAGAAAAAAAAAGGAGATGGTGTTTTCATGAGACGCGCATCGTAAGCTCGTCAGAAATGACGGGCCTGACAGGATCGCCGGCACAAAGGGGGAGATTTTGAAAGCACCAGGGATAATCGGCGTGTCAGGGCAGTGGGAAATGACATACGATATGAAAAGATCTCCATGCTTGGCTCGGTGTCTGGATGCATAGAATTAGTGTGTGATCCATGTGTGAGGCGTAGACAGTACATACAGGGGTTATACGCCGGTTTATACTTGAGGCCTGTGATGCCCATCTTTCCAAAGAAAACATCCATGAACTATAACGATTAGCTTTTATGTAACTATAGGCTAATGAGGGACGGACCTCCATAAGACCGCCAAGTGTCAAGTCATAATCAGCGATTATACCCTCAACTTGGTGAAACTCAGCGAGATGGGTGTTGTCGATGGCTTCGTTTCGAAAGACGCGATCAATGGAGAAATAACGCGCGGGGGGAGGGCGGCCATCAGGTCCCTTTTTGGATGCCAGTTTGTGTAGCATGCTGGCGCTCACGGAAGTCGTGTGAGTCCGCAGGACCAACCGCTGTGCCTCGTCTCCGGACCATGGGTACCGGTATCCAAGTGAGTCATATTTGCCGTCCTAGCATCTATCAGTAGCCATCACAGACAGAGGCAGTACTTTCAGACTCACTTGGTGTACAGCTTTTACATTCTCCCAGTACGTGTGGTCAGATGGCATGCCGGCGATTGCCGGGTCAGAGATATAGAACTATGGGACGTTAGTGAGTCTATTCTAGGAGATAGGAGGAAAGCGCCCTGCCGTGTCTTGTAAGTCGCGGGCAGGGTGTTGCTGCGGCACGAAAAGGGCGTCGAAGTTCCAGAAACCGGTCTCGACAAAGCTGCAAGGGCAATCAGTATCCGCCAGTACCTCCAGGGTCCCCGGAAAGGACGGGTCGCGCGTACCTGTCTGTAGGCATCTCTTCAAAGCCTAGCTCAAAGAAGATATTCCTGATTTCAGCCCGGACTTTGTTCAGGGGGTGTAATGCACCTGCTCGTTGGTCGGCGCCTAATGCCTGGAAATTGTAAGGTTTGAAGGTAGTCGTCTTCCAAGATGAGTTGGCTAGCATTTCAGCCGTCAGGTCAGTGGCTTCATCGGGCAGCTCGAGGGCAAATTTAGGTCCTTTGTTTATCTTGAAGCTGATGACCTTCTGGACTCTGACGAGCTTGCGTTTCTTCAGGTCAGCGAGGACTTTCGGATCAGCGACGGTTCGACTCGTCTTGATGGATAACAACTGCTCCTTGGCGGCATCGTGAATGGAGTCGGGTACGGCCTTGAGCTTGCCGTCTAGGACAGGAGTGTTAGCAGAAAGGTCAGCGATGGCGATGCGAGCGAGCGATTATGACTGGTCCGCTATGTCTTGCCGTCTACCTTTGGTTTTGGTAATCCACTTCTCCTTGAAGGCTTTCCCCTGGCCGAGTTTGGAGATGTTCTTGTCGCCAATGGTGTTTTCCAACTCCTGGATTGTGAGCCCGTCGACGGCAGCGCGCAAAGCGTCAAAGACACGGGCCTCGTGGCTCCCATGCGTGGCAATCAATTCGCCTTCGGGCTCCAGCAGGACCTCCTCCCGTTGGGTCGTCTCATACTCAACCATAGACCGCGAGGCCAATCTGTCGAGCGCCGCTTTCAGATCGGTCGAGTTGCATGTTGGGAAGTGTTCGGTAGAGCGTAGAGGGGGTTCTGTCTTGTCGAGCGTGTCGAGGACCCGAGACGTCAGGTCGCCGCCTTCTGCTGGAGGATGCGCCATTGTTGGTGTGTCCGCTGCTGTGAGTCAAACGTGTGTGATGAACGTATTTCCTGAAGGGAAATAGCACCCTTGGAGGGGCCGACGCCAGGTACCGGCCCGCACCCCTCCACCCCTCCACCCCACAAAAGCTGATAAGATAACGTACCTATTTTTGATCCAAAAAGGGCGGTCAACGGCAGCAGAACCTAGGCCTATAATATGCAATACTTACTGCTCACACGCAATTACCTAACCTAGGTAGGTACTGTATCCAATTTCATTACTTTCATCGCTAATTTCTTTACAACAAAATCTCTCTCTCTCTCTCTAACGCTCTGCTCTATAAAGCTATTCTACGTGTATTAACGCGATCTCTGAGCTGCGATAGTCATTATAGCGGCTGACATACCACTCTTGCCGACATATAAGCTCTAGAACTTCGAATACCTGCATTCTTTATCGTCAATGATTAGAGACGTTTTGCTAATAGCACTTCACAATACCAGCTCTCGTAACCCTACCCTTCGACGGGCGTTGAATCTAAACGAGTAAAATATTCTTTCAAGTGTTCCAAAGACTACTTAGGTCCATGTTAGGGTATTCAGTGGAAGCGCATTCCGGCTCCTCGCTAGCAATGATCCTATCCATAGCAATGTCCACTATGGCCTCCTCCTCACGTCGTTTTTAAAGGATTCAATTCTTCAAAAGCCACCTTTTCCGTAATGTTTTCTTGTTCGATGCAGTATCTCCTTGAAAAACGTCTTGTTGGCTTGCTTTAAAATCCGCTACAACAGCCCTCCTAAAATTGTATACAAGAGGTTCGATCTGTTCACAATTTAGTTGATCTTTAAGTCACTGTGTCATTCTGTCTAGTAATATATCCTGTAGATCAGACTTCGTCATCCTTAGCGCCATGGTGATTGCTTCCTGACGAGTGGAGAATCAATTCCACCCCTACTGACACATTCGAACTTGATGACCCGTTCTACTCTAAATATCATTATCTTCATCGCCTCCTCCCTATTTCTATAGGAGCCTCTTTCTCTAATTCGACAAGAGCTTTTTCGAAATGGCCACATATCAAACAGCCCAAGACATCTACTCGCAGGCTCAAGGATGCAGGTCTCTGTTCGCGAAGTACCTGGGGCCTTCGGAATCACTTAGAGCATACCACAGGGGTATGAAAAAGTCTGGGCGACGCTTTCTAGTCTAGGCTAATTTCCTAGGACACTTTGCAAGCGAAAACACCTCTCTTGGCCAGCGTCTTTAATATAAACCCGAGACGAAAGAGCTTGTGCTATCAATGCTCCAGGTTTTGTGAAGGAATCTAGAACAAGATATGTAATTCGAAGCGCCGTCATTAACGTCCTTCATGTCTTCATTATTACTAAGGTGTTTATAGGCATTATTCGGCATACAACTGACCCCGCCGTCAATAACCCCGCTGAAACACTGAATAACGACGATTACATGTATGGCGTCACAGGGGCTATCGAAAGGCTTCAACGGCTCGTCGTAGCTATTCGACAACCCCGAGGAACCGATGAGGTGGGTAGAGTCCGCGAACTCACCTCCAAACAGGCACCTGGCCGTTTCTATAATGTTATGTTAGCCAGAATATGCTGCCTCTTCCCAAAAGCAGAGAAATCACTACGCGTACAGCTCGCCTAATCTATCGTATACCGACGGCATCGCCTACTTTAGGACAGGGGATATTCTGGGAAGTTAGGTTGTGATAGAGCAGAGAAAGTCGAAGAAAACCCAGCTA